TCCCCCTCCTCCCCCTCCTCCTCCTCCTCCTCCTTCTTTTTTTTTGGTACTGGAAATTGAACTCAGGACCTTGTGCTTGCCAGGCAGGGGCAAGCTATATCCCCGGCTCATACCACTTTCTTCTGTGCCTCTCCCTAACTGCACACTTGTCTCAGCCACAATGTGGTAAATTGACAAGCTAAGCCTGGCTATAATAAGTAACAAACAAATGTCACTGGAGAGCTTCTTTGAAAAGGAAGACAGACCCAGTGATGAGACATCAAAAGACTAAAACCATGAATAAAAGGAAAGAAAAGAAAACACCAAGAGGCCTACTTAAATTACAGGTTCATTGCAACAGGTGATTCACATTCTCCAAGTCTACTTTGTATTATACATGGCGACCGGCCATCCAACAAAGACATGAAACCTTCAACACTGCCTTGCCACGTGGGGACCGAGCACCTGCACACCTGCATTAAAAGACAAGCCTTTGGAGTTTTCCAAAAGAAAAACAATGTGAACACAAAGCATAGAAGCAATGATTGAAGACCCCATGTCATCAAATGTGCCTGCCCCAATATAAGAATATTGCTCTTAGTGGCTGACTGCACTGCTGGGCTGTGAAACCCTCACTGTTGGTGAAGAGTTGGCCCTGCCTGCTGCTAAGGACACCTGGTAGGAATTTTTAGGAGAGGCCGCAGTTCAGCTTGTGCCCTAACTAGAGAAACTGGTAAAGCGGCAGGGGGTATTGAGGCACAGCTGTGAGAGAAGTAGTGAGTCACCCGGGTATACAACCCAGATTACCCCATCTACCAGTGTTGATAACAACACAAGTATGCTGGTTTTTTCTGGAGGATGTGCAGGAGGGTATGTTACATGAATTTTTGTTACCAACTAACACCCAGCTGCAGAGCTGTTAAGACTCTGAAGGATCACACATCAGGAGAATGAAACTGGTCATGTTGGGTGAGTATGTGCACAACAGCTCAGGTGCTATGAGTATGGATGGTTTTTGGCTGCACTACTCAGGTTAAAGAGGTTGCTTCAGTCTACACACTGTGCCATCCGTACAGAAAAGCTGGCCAAAAAATGTCACCTGAGCTTAACAGTGTTTTTCAAGAAGAGATTAAAATCATCAAGCACATTAAAATGCATGCCTTTAACTCTCCTCTGTTTGAGCAGCTCTGTGAGGAGATGGATACAGAATGTATACGTCTTCTCTTACACAGAAGCGAGATGGCTTTCTAAAGGTACATCACTGGCCAGAGGCTTTGAATCATGAGCTACGCCAGAGACTTTCTTCTAGAAAAATGGCAACATTTCAGTGACACAGAATGGGTCACAAAATTTGCTGACTTATGTGACATAGCAATCTGCTCAATGAAGTCAATCTTTTAGGAGAGAACAGCTGTGCTCAAGTTGGCAGACAAAGGTGCTGCATTCAAAGCCAAACTGGAATCATGGGAGTGACCATTGAACCCTGGGATTTTCAAACATTAGCAGAGATTTTGAAAGAGACTAAGACAGGGCCTTCTTTCTCCCAGCGGGTGCGTGATCACCTATCTCCTCTTTCAAAAGACTTTGAGCAATACTTCTCAGACACAAAAGATCCCGGAACCAGAAATGAATGGATCCAAGACCTCCTTGTGAATAAGTCAGGGGAATTGACTATGCTAGCAAGAGATCAACTGCTTATGATTGCAAGAGACAGTAGCCTTAAAAGTATGTTTGAAGGGCCGGGGATATAGCTCAGCGGCATAAGGGCTTACCTGGCAAGCCTGAGGTCATGAGTTCAATTCCCGGTACCAAAAACAAAAAGCAAAAAAACAAATCAAAAAGTATGTTTGATACAACTTCAAATCTGCATATGTTCTGGATTAAAGTCAAAGCAGAATATCTCGAAACTGCCATGAAAGTGCTGGAAAACCTGCTTCTGTTTCCAACATTCAACAATTCCAACAATCTTTGTGAAGCAGGTTTTCTGCAGCGACAGCCTCTGAAGTGAGATTATGGAGTAGCCTGGACAGAAGCACACACCTGGGGTGTCACTGTCTCCCATCCCCCCAAGATAGGTCCATCTAGTTGCAGGAACACAAGCTCAGGGCTCCCACTGATTCTGCGTTATGGTGAGCTGCATAACTATTTCATTATACATTACAATGTAATAATAACAAGTTAAGCACACAACAAATGTAACTTGCTTGAATCATCCTGAAGCCACCAACCTCACATCCATGGAAAAACTGTCTTCCATGAACCCAGTCCCTGGTGCCAGAAAAGTAAGGTATGCTGCTCTTAGAGATTATGTAAAGGATACAGGAGGATGCATGCAGATTGCATGCAAACCACTCTATTTTATACATGGGACTTGAGCATCCACAGACTGTGGTTTCCCCAAGGGGACCCGCTCTGCTTGGAGACAGAGGAGGGTAGCCCAAAAGTACAATTTGCATTTGAATACATTCAGCCCTACGTGAGACTGTTTCAGACTCCAGGGTACAGTTACCTGTGATTTATGTAAAGTTGTTCATGATTCCTTGGCTTTGTTTTTTTCCCTTCATTTTTCTAGATACCTCTCAAATGATAACTAAGAGGTTGAAGTTAACCTTTTTTTGCACTGGGATATTTTAAGTACCTGCTGTATGCTGCACATTATTTAAATATCATATAGAAGGAATTTTTATTGAAATTTAAATAGCATGGGGAGAGATATATACAGACAGACAGATGGAATGGTCTATCCCTAAATATTGATTGTAGTTACAAATGCTGAGTGATAAAATTAAGTGAATGATTTTTAGTATTTGCTTTCTGTTTTAAATTTTTGTTTCTTTTTTTTTTTAGAGGACAGGGTCTCACTAAGTTCCTAAACTGCACAGGCTAGACTTGAACTTGAGATCCTCTTGTCTCGGCCTTAAGTGCTTTTTTAAGCAAGCTTTCAACTGTGCTAGGCAAAATGCTGCGACAGCTCTAACATCCCCACCGCTCACTACTGGCCCTGTAGGAAGCCCCCCTGGGGTGTGGGCGGGCTGTTGGTGAGGTGCCTCGGGGGACAGAGGAATGACCAGTCACTTGTGTGGTGACGTTTTTTTTTTTTGTTTGTTTTTTTTGTTTTTTTTTTTGGTTTTTCTCCGGTACCGGGAACCGAACTCACGACCTTGTGCTTGCCAGGCAGGCGCTTTTGCCGCTGAGCTAAATCCCCAGCCCCGTGACTTTTTTTTTTTTGAGATAGGGTCTTGCTCTGCAGTTCAGGCTGGCCTTGAACTTGCTTATATAGCCCAGGCTGGCCTCAAACTCACTGTGATCCTCCTGCCTCAGCCTCCTGATTACTGGGATCACAGGCATGCGCCACCTCTCCCTTTACCCTCATCTCCCTTTAGCGGTCCATGATCCACCCCAAAAAAGGCCCCTGTGATTCCCTCCTCTCCTGACCTACGCCACTCTCTGGTCCAGGCCACCACTCTCCCCTCCTAGGTGGACTCTGCCTTTGGTCTCCCTGTCCCCGCAGTTGGGTCACCTCTCTAACACACCCCATCTTGAGGCCCTGCTCAGAAACCACCAGTGTCCCCGATGCACCCTTCAGTGTCTCCTCCACACCTCGGCCGGGGATGCTGAAGGCTGTCCCGGCTCTGCGCCCGACATCTGCCGTCACACCTGTGCTCCGGGGCCGCCCCCCAACCTTGCCATTCTCACTCATGGGAAGCCGCAGCCCCTGGCTCGAATGTCATTCACTCCAGCTCCACAGACCCCTGAGGGATGTGCATGGCGATGCCTGTGCCCTGCCTGGCCACCTGCCTGGCCACCTGCTGCCCAGAGGGACAGGCACCTCACAAGGCTCACCCAGCCCTAGCATGCAGCAGGTGCCCTGTGGGCGTTGGTCCTCAGTCCTTACCCCAGCCCTTCCCCCCAAGAAGCCGAAGTACTCACCCTGAGGTGACCCTCGGGAGGAGGTGGCATCTCGCTCCTTCCTGTGGCCCCAGGAACCCCAGGCAAAGCAGCTCAGCAGCCCTGGGACCCGCGGTCTCTCCCAGGCTCCTTCTGCGAGAAAGAACACAAGGCCCAGGAGCACAGGTCAGCTGGGTCCTACTTGCAAGTCTGGGGACTCTGCTCAGCAGGCCTGAGCCTCAACCGTCTGAAGATCTCAGGACCCCTCACACATCCCTGCCATTCCCGTACCGTGTGGGGGAAACCACAGCAAAAAGCAGAACAAAACATGGCATGCAATTCACTATATGACACCAGTACTAAAAGACAGTCATCAGTGCTTCATTTTCAGCTCAAACTGTTTCTTGCCAGGTGTAGTGGCACACGCCTCTAACCACAGCACTTGGGAGGCTGAGGCGGGAGGATCAGCTTGAGTTCAAAGCCAGCCTGAACTACATAGTAAAACCCTGTCTCAGAAAAACCAAACAACAGAAACAACAACGAGAAAAACTAAAAAACTGTTTCTTAACAGAAATGCAATAGATTGATACTTTTTTAGAATAGCATAAAACAATTGTAATGTGAAACAGTGCTGACTGGGACTGTCTTATTAAGATAGAACACCACTTCAGTTAGTTATCTGAAGACTACCTGACATCCCTGACTATCCAGAATAAAATTAAGAGGAAATGTTTTTTCAAAAAGATTTGTGTGCCAGGCATGGTGGTGCACACCTGTAATCCCAGCACTCAGGAGGCTGAGGCAGGAGGATCACTGTGAGTCTAAGGCCAGACTGGGCTACATAGTGAACTTGAGGCCAGTTTGAGCTACACACAAGGAGACCTTATCTCAAAGGAAAAAAAAAAAAGACATGGGCTGGAGGTGTACCTAGGGGAGGTTAGGTAGAGGGTGGCAGAAACACAGAAGAATCTTTGTTAATAATCTGCTCCTGGCTGATGTGCTCTTCTTTGTACCTACTTCTAACAAGACTGGATGCTTAGGTTTTTCCCACCCAAAGGCACCAGAAACTGGGTGAAATGCCACCACCACATGGCCAACAAGTAAAAAAAAAAAAAAGAACCATCATCAAATATTGAGGAAAGAGGTCCAAAAACATAAAAAGCAAGAGTAGCCTCTAGAAGAACCTTAGCAACAGAAGTGCGTGAGGCAGAAGCTGCAGGAGCTGGAAAGAAATGGGTGGGCGGCGAGTTATCTTACACCCAAGACCTCTTGTGGTAAGGAAAAAGCAGGTGGACTTTGGTCAGTGTTTTTTCATAGAAGTAGGGAAGAGTTTAACATGATAAAGAATGAGGCTTCTGCAAAACGTTACACTTTCAAAGGTGTTAGTGTTTATTTAAAAAGAGGGAGGACTTACTCTGTCATCCTGCAAGCCAGGCAGGGTGTTGGGAAATGGAAAAGTGTTAAACTAGCCGACAGTGACAAAACCGTGGTAAGAATGTAAGAGAGTGGAGGAGGGCCAAGGGGTCTGGGATTTCACCCGTGGACTTGCGGACCAGCGGCTTCCAGGAAGGCTTCCCAGAGGAGGAAATGCTGTCCTGATTGAGGAGAGGAGATGCACCAGGTGCAGAGGATGAGGGGAGAAGACGCTGTGTGGGCCCAGGCAGCCGCCCAGCGTGCAAAAACTCAGGAAGCCCCAGCAAGCTTTCGCAGGAATGGGAGCCAAATGGCCATGAGGTTAAAAAGGCTAAGAGAATTTCCCAGGCACGGGCTCCTTCGGTGCACAAAGTGTGTGTGATCCCTTCTTTCCCGCAGCGGGTCAGGTCAGCAAAAAGCCTGCACAACAACCCACAGCCGCTCCCAGGGCCGTTTCCCTGTCCCGAAAGGGTTTGTGGCCTGGGGAGGTCGGTTGGTCAGCACTGGGTTTGCGACACTCGTCACACGCAGGTGTGGAGTCTCCCTGGCAGGAAAGCGGCTTGGACAGGGGATACCAGGGAGGGGACCAGGCAGCCACTGATCATCATCCTTCAGTCTTCAGGAGCAGGAGGAGCCGCGGGAGCTGGGAGCTGCCAGTCCTGCCAAGGCCCCAGGCCAGCCTGGCCCAGCTGTACTTGGTGGCACATTCTGACCCTGAGGCACCAGAGTTCCCCTGTGCTGGGCATGGGAGCCTGGGGCTCTTCTGCGGGTGACAGCAGATTCCTCTCTGTGGCAGGCCGGGAAGTGTGTATGTGTGGGAGCCGCTGGGCCTCTGGGGGCAGCAGGGAGACGCCACCGTGGGTGGCAGCCTGGAGGGGAGCCAGGGGCACAGGTGACTTCGTTCTCAGCCCCTGGCACCTGCCTGCATCGCACCGGTTCCTTGCCTTCTACCTGCGACCCCAGGGCCTCCACTCCGCCTCCCTTCACCTGTCCTGGAGCTCCGACTCTGCCACGGCGACCAGTTCCACACACACGCACACGCATGCACACGACCCCACACCGTGCACCCCAAGGCAATTCCACCTTCTCGGCCTGCCCCGCCCCAGCCTTCTCTCACCCACGCCCTGCCCCCGTGTGCCCCTCGGCTCTCTCCGCCTCCGGCAGCTCGCTGCACCCGGGGCTTCCGAGGCAGGGAAGCGTGGTGCTGGGGACCTCCTGGCTCTGGGTCTCAGTTTACCTCACTGCACAACCAGGAAGGTCGCGACCTAAAGGGGGATCCCCCGTGGGGGCCTCCGCAGCCCACCCTGGTGCCCGCGCCCGCCAGCCCGCGCAGCTCACCTGGTCGCCCGCACCGCGTGGCTTGCAGGGCCCTGCAGGCGGCCGCCTGGAC